ATCAACATTATATATGTATATATATATATATATATATATATATATATATATATATATATAGTTGCTGTACAATGAGAGTTTGTGTGTCTCTTACAGTGAACGAGCGTATTGTACTACGTTTTATTTCACGATTACCTGTAGGGCATTTCTGCTTGCATGGTAAATATATATTTTTGACGTTTTTATTGTTTCAGTATACTGAACTTGGTATTGTATGAACATTTGCATCATGTTTTGAAGACGCCAGTATTGGATGGATTTTGCTTTGTTGAAATTGAGAATGCACACTAGTTTTTTTGTCTGCCCAGCTTTTTTGATACATAAGGAAGGACTTCTGTGACACTTTTTTGCCTTTTCATCATTTATTTGACATTGTTCAAATGGCTTTGTGTGTTAATCCTTATTTGAAGTGTATTTTATTTGGGATATTTATTATAAATTTAATCAGATTGCTTGATTTTTTTTCAACATTTATTATCCATATATAATTATCTTTGAACTAAATCCCAGCAGACTGCTTTGATAAATAAGATGATTAATTAGCCAGCAAAGAGTAATTTGACAAATGGCCTTTAACAATTGAGCCGATGCTTCAGATTACTGTCAAAAATCAGGTTTTAGCTGTAGCCTTCATTTAATCCTGATAACATGATAACAAAACGCTCTGTTGTCCAGACTTCATCTTCAGCCATGGAGAGCATCACCACAACAGATACAGCCATGACAGTGCAACCTACTATATTTCCACGTGTGGGCTACAGCATACTTTCATACCTCATGTTTATAAACACAGTACTTTCTGTGTTTAACAACTTGTTGGTGATTGCTGTGATGCTTAAGAACGTGCATTTTCTCAACGCGATGAACGTCATCATTCTCAGTCTGGCCGTGTCGGATCTTATGATTGCCACCTGCGGCTCTGCCATCGTCACCATCACAAATTACCAAGGATCTTTCTTTTTAGGGGATGCATTCTGTTTTTTTCAAGATTTTGCTGTGAACTATTTTGGTGAGTACTGGTTCAGAGGGACCATTGTTATTTTATTTGTTTTATGTTATATGTGTCCAAATATGTTTATTTCCTTTCAAAGTACCCCCTATGAAATGGTATATAGTGCTGGCAGCTATATTCATGTGTAAAGAAGAACCATTTAAAATGTGTGAATAATATTAATATTAAATATTTCTAATATTAATATAAAATGTTTAATACTAAATTTATTACATGTATTTTTAAGGGATCAATATTATATATTTTAAATATGGCATTAAATATGTGACTCCTATAGTAAATAGAACTATAAATACTATTTAAAAAATATAATTATGTAAATATGTAAAGACCCATTTAAAATGTGTGTGAAAAACAAATTTATTTAATACCATATTTAATAATTGTAACTGAAATTAAAAATATATTTATAATATTTATAAAAAATGTTTATTACTTAAGGTATTACATATCTATAATATTCATATAGTTTAAATGTAATACTTAAATGGCTTTTATTTAAATGCATGAGAAATCGTTTTCAGCAGTTTATTTTATAAATGTAATGTTAAAAAAAATCAAATGTTTAATGCTAAAAAATATATATTATAATATACAATTTAAATACAACATTTAAAAATGGGCTTTTATTAAGGCTATTATTTTAAATATATTAAAAAAAATGAATGTTATGTAATACTAAATTATACTAATATATA